CCCCCAAATCTTTGGTAGGAGACCAGGGACTCCTCCAGAGGGGCTTCGTTTTAGGCAGGGAGAGTTCAAATGGTTTCCTGTGCCAGGGCCTTTCCTTTTATTTGGGGGGCTGGCTTGTCAACCCCTTCCCCCCAGCTCCCGGACGTCAGCAGGGCTTGAGTGAGGTCTAGGTTGCGCCAGTAACTTGGGGGCCTGGGCAAGGGGCCGTCATCCACTGCCGGTGATGCTGCTGCTCTTCCGCTGGCCTTCCTGGGGGTGGGGAGGCCCAGGAGACACCAAGGCCTCCAAGTGGCAGGCAGAGTGTTGGTGCTGGGGTGGGGGGCAACCTGGAACGCACGGCTTCAGAGGGTCTGCTCTGCACCGCCAGCTGTCCACACGGGAGTAGCTGGCTGGGGGAGGTAATCCTGGAGGCCTCTGGGCATCTCAGGGCTGTGGCTGCGCTGGGGTCCAGTGATAGCCGCCTCCCAGGATCAGGTACCTCTTTAACCTCAGGAGGGACCATCGAGGGTCCCCAGCCAAGAACCCCCTCAAGATCAGGCAACTCTACCCTCAGGGAATCTGGGGGGTGGGGGAGCCAGGACTTAACACACCACCACCACCCCACCACCCAGTTCAGACAGATTTGTACCTTCAAGGTATCTGTTGAGCCCCCCGGAACCCCCCATCCCACGTCGCCTGGTCTGAGCATACAGAGCCACAGGAAGCTCCTGTCCGAGTGGCTAGATCTCAGAGATCAAAGCTGCTCCCAGCCTATGCCACTGGGGCCCCACACCCCTGGCCCTTGTTAGCAATAACACTGTCTCCAGTCGGGCCCACTTGGACACACCATGACCTAAACCCTGGTGGCTGGTCCTCAACCAGCCCCCTGTCCACGTCGACAACAGGACCCAGGGAATAGCTGGCCCAGCCAATGTCCAGGCCACCAAGAATAGGGCCAGCATCCCCTGTTCCCAGCCTGGCAGCCCCAGGCCGCCACTGGCCAAGCCACCACTGCCCTCCCTCCTACCACTTGAGAAAGCCCATAGAGCTGATGGCGACCCCTGGTTGGGCAAAGTGGGTGGTAACCACGAGAGGCAGCTGCACTGTCTTACTAACTGCCCCCCGGGGTTCCCAGTGCTTTTACCTCTTGGGACCTCGGGCTCATCATCCTCCGTGGACTGGCTGGTAGGTGTGTCCACACCGCCGACTGGGGTTTGTAGCTGAGCCCAGATCACCATGCCACCAGGGATCCTCAAAGGCTCTGAAGGTTTGCCACGAAGCCAAGCCCCTACTCCCAGTACCGCGTTCCAGACCACCTCAATCGAGCAAGGATCACGATCCCCCGATTGTGTTGGTTTCTCAGAGGAGCCTGGTAGGGTACCTCCAGGTCAGCAGTTCAAAACCACCAGCCCTTCCGCGAGAGAAAGACGAGGCTTTCGACTCCTGTGAAGAGTTACGTCCTGGGAACCCAGAGGACAATTCTGCCCGTCCTGTCGGGTCGCTGTGAGTCTGGATGGACTCAGTGGCGCTGGGTTAGGTTCGGGATTTGGGTCGGAGCCTGGGAAAATGAAGCTGGGGCTGGGGCAATTGCAATCTCGTGAGAACAGCCATCGTGCCCAGAGACAGACAGGAAGTGAGCTCGGGCCCATAGGGTAATGACCCCCACACTTGCTCCACACATGGGACCCCCAAACCTTGGATCAGTAAAAATTTTTTTTTTTAATCATCTGAGAGAACTCCGAAAACCCAGGTCACTGCCGATTCATAACAACCGGACAGGACAGTGTAGAACTAACTGTGGGGTTGCGAGACGGCCACTCTCTCCAGCAGTAGAGAAGCCTCGTCTTTCTCCTACATGGTGGCTGGGGGTTTCAAACTGCCGACCTTGTAGGCAGCAAACCCAATGTGTAGCCACTGCAAAATAAAGGGAAACACAGCCAAGTGAGGTGCCCGTGGCCAGCGTGGTCGGCCTCCCTGCCCCCCGGCCCACCTTGATGATGGACGATACAGAGTGCCACAGTTTAACAGCCAAGCGTCAGGTACACGTAGGACTTGGGCCCCGGTCGGTCTGGCTGCTCCCAGGAGAGCCATGTGTCGGCGGCCAGATGCAGAGGCCGACTCTCACCCAACACTCCAAATGCTCGCCGACTGAGGAAATGACTATAAACTGAGTCTCCGGCCCTTTTTCTCTTCTGGTTTTTTTGTCCGCAGGCAGTTTAATCATTCAATCCTGCAGTCAGGACCCGCGTACCACTGTTGATGGCCTCGGGTTTGTCATGGGAGCCCTGTTGGCATAGTGGGTACGTGTCAGGCTGCTAACACCACGGTTGGCACTTCGAAACCCCCAACCACTTTCTCCTCTCAAGAAACCCGCAGGCCAGTTCTGCCCTCTCCTCCAGGGCCCCTGTGAGTCAGGGCTGTTGCCTCGCTGGCAGGGAGTTTGGCCGAAACACTGGAGAACCTAATAAGGCCATTCTGACTTGAACGCCTGCCCCAAAGGCGAAGGCCCTTCAAAAGCCAGCCCAGTCCCGCCCGCCGCCCTTTCCTCGAGGTCCAGCCCTGCGCCGGTGATGTACGAAACAGACACCGGCTTCCAGCCAGAGCATTTCACATAACTCTGAGGTCACGCCCCAACCAGACGGCCACTGCGTTGCTGTTGCGGTTTGCTTTTGCCCCGGTGGGCAGGCGTGGGGAGCCCCCTGCATATCAAGTTTGGGGGCCAGGTGGGTCTGTGCTCAGCTTCAAGTGGGAGGGAGTGTTTGTCCTGGAAATCTGGGAAGAAAAGGGCCCCAGGTTGACTCCGGGGTCATGCAGAGGGTCCAGGAAGTGCTGCCCGCTAATCCAGATTTCCCCCTGGGAAGGCTGTGTGCCTAAGTGCTTAGAAACAGATTAGGGTAACCGGACACTGGATTACTGGGGCAGCGTCAACACCCCACACAGGTGTCAACAAGCCCTTTCTCTGCCTGCAGACAGCAAGTGGCCCCGGCAAGCAAGCTTCCTTTGTGAGCAGATCTTGCCCGCGCTCCCCTGGAGAAGTCACGGGGCTGTCGTGAATCCCTGTGGTTCTGTTTGCATGTGCCCCCCTGAGGGCACCAAGCGCCTGCCCAGACCTAAGGGTGCGGGGTTCCTAAGGGTGCAGGACAAGGTCCTAGGGGTGGGGGTGGGGCAGGCTCACCAACCTCAAGAGCTACCTGGCAGAACCCCACTAGCGGGTTTTCCAGCCCGTGATGCTGCAGGGATTCTGCCAGGGTCTCCTGCCTTCGTCAACCTTTGGGAACCTCAAGGCCAAATCCATCCTGATTGGGGGGCCAGCAGTGCCCCAGCCCCCCCCCTTGCCTGGAGCCCACTCCTCTCTCCCTCCTAAGTAGTCCTTAACTACTCCCTGTCTTCCTTCTTTGTGTCCCCTCCTTGCCTGATTCTCTCCCTCTCTCTGCTTGCTCACTTCTACCCTTCTGACCTCAGGATCAGAAGTTCAAGCCCACCAGCTGCTCCCATGGAGAAAGACGAGGCTGTCTGCTCCTGGAAAGAGTGGCAGTCTTGGGAATTCACAGGGGCAGTTCTACATTGTCTGATAGGGGCGCTGTGAGTCAGCATCGACTCAATGGCAGTGGAGAGGGGTGGGCGCTGTGGGTTAGGCATTGAGCTGCTGACTTCAGGGTTAGCTGTTCAAACCCACCAGCTGCTCGTTGGGAGAATGATGAGGCTGTCAGCTCCTGAAAAATATACCATCTCATAAACCTTATGGGGAAATTCTACTCCGTCCCTTAGGGTTGCTGTGAGTGGGGTGGCAGCAGCAGCCCCCCCCCAGGGCCGCAGCCTCCACCTCAGTGCCCCGCCCCCCGCCCCTGGGCTGTGGTTGGGGGTCAGGTCGGAGGGTGCCCGGCAATCCCACATGCTCCCCCTTCTGTGACCAAGTCTGTCTGCGTCCGCAGGGAGGAGAAGGAGCGGTGGATCCGAGCCAAGTACGAACAGAAACTCTTCCTGGCATCGCTGCCCTGCTCCGAGCTCTCGCTGGGCCAGCACCTGCTGCGGGCCACTGCCGACGAGGACCTGCGCACCGTCATCCTGCTGCTGGCCCATGGCACCCGCGACCAGGTCAATGAGACGTGCGGGGAGGGCGACGGCCGCACGGCACTGCACCTGGCCTGCCGCAAGGGCAACGTGGTGTTGCTGCAGCTGCTCATCTGGGTAGGTGCCACGGACACCCCTACCCCTCAACCCCGCCACCCCATGGCCTGCTCTCCAGAGAGCAGCCCTCCCCTTCCCCAGGCCTCAGAGAGCCAGGCCTGTGGGTCATGTCCAGTCTCTCTCTGTCCTGCCACCCACCTCTCTGGACCGGGCCTTGTGTATGTTTCCATTCTGCGTTCTATACCCCTGCCCAGCTCCCCAGGGAACCAGACCCTGTGGGTGATCTCTGATCAGTAACCCCTCCCTCTACCTGGATCCTGGGGACCACTGCCCCTCTCCTCCCACCCCCTCAGAGAGCCAGCCCTGTGGCTGATCTCCAGTCTGCATCGCCCCGCGCCCCGTTCCCTGGAGAGACCCCTCTCAGACTAGCAGAGAACCAGCCCCTGAGAGTCCTGTCCAGCCTGCTCTGCGTCCATCTCCCTAGTGGAAGCCCATCTGGTCAGGTTGTCCCGATGATAAACGAACCGTAGGAGAGACCTCCGTCTGAAAGAGGGCGCCCTGGGGGCACAGGGAGAAGCACTCGGCTGCACACTGAAGGAAGGCAGTTCGAACCCACTAGCTGCTCCTCGGGGAGACGAGGCCGTCTTCTCCCACAGGATTCACAGCCTCGAGCACCCACAGGGGCAGCGCTGCCCTGTCCTGCAGGTGCACTCAGCCCTACAGCTAAGGATTTGAGGGTGTTTCTTCTACCTGATCATCATTTCCTGCAGGTCAGGGAGCCCTAGGGGTGCAGCTGCCAGGCATCAGACTGCTACCCCCAAGGGGTCAACCGAGACAAGGTTGTGTGCTCCTGGAAAGATTGACAGCCTGCACACCCCATGAGGCAGTTCTACTCTGCTCCCCAGGGTCACCGTCAGTCAGAATTGAGTCCAGGGCAGTGGGGTATTTTCAGGTTGAGCTTGAAGGTTGGGTGACAGTCGGGTCCCGGGGGGAGGAGGTAGCTGCTCAGATCTAGCATCTTCCAGCGCAGGGATGTGGTGTAGTTTATGTACAGCCCATAGGATGCCCTTCCTTGAGCACAAAGCCAGGGACTGTGGACAGGAAAGAGCCAGGCGTTGCCCTGACTCACTCCCAACTCTGCCTGTAGCAGCCGGAGGTGGTCCCACACCCACCCTTTCCCTGGGCCCCACGGCACCAGCCTCCAGCCACCGGGGCCCCAGAGCTGGCTTGGGCTTCAGCTGGCGCTGGCAGGGCCCGACCACCCAGAGCCAGACTAGCCTTATCTCCAGTTGGGTACCAGGCATGGACAAGATCCCCAGAGGAGGGCAGGAGGCTGACCTGGGGCCCTGGTGTCCCCACAGGCTGTACGAAGGGACTCACCGTGGTGCCGTGCACCCTGGGAGTTCTGAGTGTCAGGACGACGGTGTATCCTTACGACTGCCGTCGTGTCTGAGGAGCCTGCAGGTGGGGCAGTTGGTGTAGGGGCAGGGGCTGCTAACCACGAGCTCCGCAGTCAGGTGGTTGAGAGACAGGGCCTTCTACTCCCACAAAGAGTTGGTCTCCGAAACCCACGGAGCAGTTCTGCCCTGCGATGTAGGGTCGCTGTGAGCAGGAAGCTGCCTGATGGCTGTGGGTTTGGGTCATCAAGTGAGAGGGGTCTTCGTGCGTCTGGGGCCGTCTCTTTAACGCTTCCTCTACACGGAAAGCTACAAGGGACGTTCGGACTTCAGAAACATCTGACTTTCAATGCTCCCATTGACCTACAGAGCGACGTGAAGTCAGACCAGGCAGGGGCTGCCAGTCTGCATACCAGGCTTGCCCTGAGCGTCCGCGGCCCGTTGGGAACACGGGCTTGGATATGAGCGAGGGGGCAGCGTGCGCCTGCCCTGCTCACACTGGGCAGACTGCGTCCCACCTGGGAATGGAACGGGTGCTCGCTCCTGGTCAGAACGGAAAGCAGCCAGCGAACGTTCTCGCTCAGCCAAGGACTCCACGGAGCGCCTACGGGCGTGAAGAGCACGCGTCCCCTCCAGGGAATGTGCCCCCCCCTCCCCACCCGGGTCACCCATAGCCTGGTCCCAGGTCTGTGTCCACACTCAGCTATGTGCCGGGCACGCCCCTCCCCCTCCACTCCTCCTTGCACACCTCCACCCTTCTTTCCCCTCTTCCCCTTCTACCTCCCCTCCCCTCGCTGTTCCCCTGTCTCTTTCTCCTCTCTGACTCCCTCCTCCCTGCCCTACCCCCCACATTCCTGCCACACGCCGGTGGCTGCAGGGACACTAACGTGGAGTCTTGTCCACAGTACGGCGTGGACGTCATGGCGCGGGACGCCCACGGGAACACGGCGCTGGCCTACGCACGGCAGGCCTCCAGCCAGGAATGTGTGGAGGTGCTTCTGCAGTACGGCTGCCCGGACCAGCGCTTCGAGCTCATGGCCACCCCAAACCTGTCCCGGAAGGGCGCCGACCGCGCTGCCAGCAGTGGCAGGATGCCCACCATTATCTGACCGGCCCTGGGCGCTGCCCCGGACAGGCCCACGAGTGAGGCCTCTGCGTCCCCACTGCCTGCTCTCCCACCCCCACCCCACCCCCAGCCAAATGACAGCCCTGCCGGCCCTCCATCTGGCAAGGGGGGGAGGAGGCGGCTGAACCGATTCCTATTCCCTTGGCCTCCTGGCAGGAGGGGCCCTCGGATGATAGCACAGGACACACCCCCGGCCAAGGCCGCCTGGGGGGGAGCAGGGCATGGGAGTGGGGGCGGGCGGGCGGGCGAGGAGCTGGGGAAGGTGTCGTCCATGCACCAACCGTTAAGCACATCAGCCTGCCCGGAGCCCATCTCCTCTCGGAGGGCCAGGCGGGAGAAATCAGAAGCAAGCACAGTTTGTCAGGTCTGAAGGCCCGGTGATGGTGTGTGTCAAATCAGTTGTAGCTAATCTCTCCGAAGAGACTGCGGGCTTCATTACGCGCGGATAGCCGAGTTCGAGCAGCATTACCGCCGTCTAATAGAAGCTGATTAGTCGTCACCCGGAGAAGGCGTGTGGGCCGGGAGGTAGTGACGAGGGACGCTCCGCTGATTGCCGGGATGTGATTGCAATATTCTCGGAAGCCGTGCACTCTCCAGCGGACGCTGAGCCCTCCCTTCTAAACTCACCGTCGTAATTTAGTGTCTCTAAGTTTGCAGTCCAAAGAGAGGGCAGGCGCTGCTGGGTGTGCCCGGAGCGCCAACGCCCTGGTAGGAAAACACAAAGGGGAGAGTCATCGGGGCCACTCTGAAACCCAAGGGGGTGGTGGGGGTGACACCCCAAGTCCATGGAGGAAGCTAAATAGAAATGTCAGAGGCTAGCTCCCACTCCTCCATGCCCCCCCACACCCACTTTGTAAAAGATGTTCTCTGCCCTTCTGCCAAGCTGAATGGGGTGGGGCTCGGCTGCTCCAGGCTGCATGCCTCCCCCCACCCTGCACCCAACTCTCCACCTTTAGAAGAGGCGTGTGAATGAAGGAGTGCACCCGCCTGGTGCATCCAGAGCGGCAGGAGCAGTAACGGGGCTGGGCTGGGGACAGCATTCTCTGCTGTGAGCAGTTGCTTTCCCAAGGGGACCACTTGGAATGGGCTGCTGCTGGCACAGTTTACCCACTCAAGATGAACAGAGGATGCCGCCGAGGTGGGCCAGCGAATGAACAGATGGACTTGAGAACAGAACCGCGGAAGGGATGGGGGGAGAGGGCCGTGTGACACCTCCCATCTGTGGATAACCGAGAGAAAGGGGTGGTTTCCAAACCCAGACCCCGGGGGCTTGACAGAGGCCAGTCAGGACCCGCAGCCAACTTGACACCAGGGACTGGCGACTGAGACCCAGTGGCCTAGCCCTTTGCTCTGTTCGCTCACCGTGGTGGCCCAACAGAGAGCCCACCCACCATGTGACCACTGAGTTTAAGAGAGGGCCCCCAGGTGCGAGAGCCCTGTGGCAGGGCCAGGCAAGGCTTGGCCTCACCACAAGACCACGATATGGGGAGAAACGCAAACAGTGCCGGCCACCGCGGGCAGACCCCTTGTTCTTCTCTGTGGGACCTTCTATTTTGTAAGAGTTTTCCTCCTCACTTTTTCAAAAAAAAAAAAAAAAGGCAAAAAAAGCAGGTGATGGAGAAACAAAGCTTCACAGGGAGTGGCCGTGCGGCTGCCTGTCCCACAGCCGCTGCTGGCCGGAGGACACTCACTCAGGAACCCCTGGTGGCCAGTGGCAGGGCCAGTCTGCTCCCTGGAGGTGGACTGTCTGGGACACCCGCCCCCCGGGGCTGTCCTTCTGTCCCAGGGCGTGGGGGAGTGGGCAGGGGGACGCTGTGAGGCGCGGAGCATGGGGGCAGGCGTGGCTTCTGGGTTTTCGACTCAGTGGACCACTCCGGGGCCACACGCAGATCGGAGACCCGGCACGCAGATTCCGTGCCCTGCCGTGCGTGTCGGGCTTTCTGTTTTGTTTCGTTTTCCCCATTCTGGGATGTCACCTCCGTGTAGCCACTTTCCGTGTGCACAGGAGGGGCCTGAGGAAGCCGACGCCAACGTCCGTCCCCGGCCTCACCACCGACACACTGTCACGTCCACACAGCCTTCTGGCATAGACTTGGTGTAGTGACCTGCCACTCGAGTATCAAAGACACTCTTAAATTATTTCATTGTCGCTAATTCCCACCATAGGAATGCTTCCTCATCACGGAGCCTTCTGTTGGAAACAAAAGCAAACCGATTTCTCGTGTGGCTTCTTTGGGATGTATAGGAGTGTGTACATATTATTATTATATGTGTTTATAATATAATATTTTCCCAAATGACTTCTTTTTTCACTTAACCTTCCACGACGTGAATGTTAGGTTGTTTTCCCCGCCACACCCCCTCCCCTTCCCTCCCTCCAACACACCAGTGACGGATGTTCAGGGGAACGGGATGTAGCCTGCTATCTCGAACCCAAGTTGTGGCAACAGAGGAAGGGGTGGTCGTGGGCTTCTGGGGTTTTCTGTTAAAATAAAAGCGACTAAAGGCTAACGTGCTTGGTATTTCGGTCTTTGGCGTCTGTTCTCTTTGCTGGCTGTGTTCCTGCACAGCCCCTGGCCCCGTGACCCTTCCTCCTGACCTCCTCTGATGATCAGGGAGTCCCCTGGTGGTGCAAAGGGTGGACACACGTGGCTGCCATCCACTTCTGCCAAACCACCCCCAGGAAGGAAGCCTGGGGTGCAGGCCTGTGTTGACACCCAGGGGGTGCCAGGAGGCCCTCACCTTCCACCGAACGGGACTGCCAGAACCTTCCCCAGAACACCTCTTGGCCAAGGTCACCAGGAAGGTCATGATGGGGCTGTGACCCTCCAGCCTTTGGGTTTCAAGGCACCCTGGTGGCACAGTGGGTCACACGCTGGGAGGCTCACCGCAAGGTCAGCCGTTTGAAACCACCAAGAGAGAAAGATGGGGTTTCTACTCCCCTGCAGAGTGACTGTCTCAGAAACCCACAGGGCCTGTCCCATAGGGCCGCCGGGAGTCAGACTGGACTCCATGGCTGAGTTTGGAGTTTTTTGGTTTACTTTTCCGACTTGTGCCTCTTGGGTACAAGATGCTCCTAACCCCCACCCTACACACACACACCCTACACACACACACACCTCTACCTGGGCTGCCGGGGGGCAGGTGAGGGGTTGGGCAGGCAGGTTCGAGGCTGCCCAGCTTAAAGGCAACAGAGCCTACCAGCAGGCTCCCCTCTGGCTTCCAGGCATGTGCCACCTGCTCGTGGCAGAAGCATCCCCCATACGGGAGACTAGCTGGGGGGCTTGTCTTTGGGCCTGGCCCTGAGCAGCATGAACCAAGCCCAGGGGAGGGGGCCCTCGTGCCCAAGTGTTAGCCCGAGCTGGTGTAGAATTCCGTGCTGGGGGACCTGCCCGACCTTGGTTTGGAGTGGAAGGAAGGAACTGGATAGGGTGGGGGCACTGGTTGCTATTCGGTACCATCGAGGAGGCGCCACCCAGAGGAACCCTATGCACGACAGAGCACAGCCCAGCACCAGCTTCACCACGGTTCCCTGTGCCTGAGCCCACGGTCACAGCCACTGTGTCCATCTACCTCGTCCAGGGCCTTCCTCTTTTTCGCTGCCCCTCCACTTTACCCAGCAAGGTCTTCCTCCAGGGACC